AGACAAGGGCAAGTGAAGGGCTGAGGAAGGGAACTTTAATCAGTGTGATACATTGGGGGGATCAAAGAGGTTCAGTGACCCCACATCTCTCTCCAAGGTGCTGCCAGGAACTTTGGACAGGAAAAGGGAGTCAGAGGTAGAGACTTGAGGGTAGTGGAGCTGGGTTTTGCATGGCTGACAGAACAGGTACCTTGGTTGGGCCAGCAGTCTGATTGATTGTTGTCTCAGTTCTTGCTCTACAGGGGGCTTTGGAGACTTTGCTGTTAGTGTCATTCCTTGAGGTGTGCTGTGGCTATCACAGGATGGTTAGTCTTTGCTCTTAGAGGCAGCCTCAGTTTCCACCATGCGTAACTGATGCTACTTGGAGGTTATCTCATCTTCTCCCAGGCTCAGTGCTGCTTTGGGAGCAGTTTTCATCCCCTGTCTTATTAATCTGGTCTGTCCTTGGAATTCAAAGCAACTGCAGAAAAGAGTAATTCAGGAGGAGGAAGTTAGAGAGGCAAAATACAGCCAGAGGGGAAAATTGGTTTTAGTTAGGCCAGCGACTGAGTTCTCCTTTGGCTTGTTCTTGTTAACTAACGAGTGGAAACTGCTGTAGAAACAGTGAGCACAGAAGTACCTTCGTGACTCTTAGGATGCAGACTAACAACATGGAATGTTGGCCATGCTCAGATGTGAGCTACTGAATCAGGTTATATTTAGCTACTGATTAGTGTCACATGAGACATGTCCCTCTTTCATGAAGAGAATGAACAGTCCTCAGATCAAATTATGTTAATCTATTGCAAAGGTCTGTTAGATGTAATAGGTGCTTTTTTGAGTTTTAAAAGGTACCCTGTTTTTTGCTACTTTTGACAATTGAGAGGATGACATGTTAAGAAACCCTTTCTTCTTATAATAAAGTACTTGGTTTTTCTTAACAGCATTTAGTAGAAACTGAGAGCTTAATGGAACCTGAGAGAAAAGATGAAATAATTTCATTAACTAAATTAAAGATTTTGGTGAAACTTCTGAATTATGCTTTCTTTGGTACAATTCTTCCCACTCCCTGCATTGAAAAAATCTCCTGGGTTTTTAATCTTAAATCATTTTAAAACTCTTTAATAAATGAAAAGAGCCTCCTTTAAGCCTGAAATATTAGTCTTGTGTATACTGCTCACTGTGATGCTCTCGCCATGTGATGACCCAGCAAGGACTAGATGTGGCCCTTCTAGCTTGGACATCCCGGCCTAAAACTGTGAGAAATGAATTTCTTTTCTTTATATATGAAGATTTCATATATATATATATATATATGAAGAAAAGGAATTATATATGCATGTGTGTATGTGTATGTGTGACTGAAATAGTAGTAACAAAAGGAGCAGAATCACTTCTCTTGGATTTCCAAATATGTAGACTGTGCTTTCATGCATTCGTTTTTATTTATGCTAACTCTTGTGTTAATGTTTTATCTGAGTATGATGGATAGCTGCTTTACTTGATAGAGTGCCCCACTGGGAATCTCTTTACTTAAGATTTCCTTCTCTCTTAGAGTTAGGATTTTATTTAGCCGCAGGATTTCTCATAGTAAGTTGTCAAGGTCACTAGTTTTCTCTCCACCCCCACCCCCCACTCCCATTCAGTTGTGGGGATCAGACCACCGTCTCCTGCATGCTAGGTGAGTGTTCTACTGAGAGGTACATCCAGGCCTCATTAAATTCCTTAATGAGCCTTGTTCACAGGTAAACACGGAGTTATGTTATTTTTCAAGATGTAATGAATATCCTCACAGATGGTCCTGTGCTGCTTAGCAGTTTACCCCAGGTGGCCTGTCTGTCTGTCCACACTTGTCTGTCTTATCAGAGTCCTTCATTCTTTACCTTCCTGTATTAGGTACTTTTCTGTTGTGATAATGCTGTGCAATGACCAAAGGCAACTTATGGAAGAAAGAGTTTATGTTGTCTTATGGTTCCAGAGGGGTAAAAGTCCATCATGGCAGGGAAGCATGGTGGCAAGTGGTAGGCATGGTGACAGGAACCGAAAGCTGAGGGTTCATATCTTCAACTGCAAACACAAAGCAGAGAGAATGAACTGGAAGTGGGGCGAGGTCATGAACTCAAAGCCTGTACCCAGTGACATACTTCCTCCAGCAAGGCTGCACCTCCTGAATTCCGTGACCTCCCAAACAGTGCCACCAACCCCAGGGACCAGTTGTTCAAATTATTGAGCCTGGAGGGACATTTCTCATTCAGACCACCATACTTCCTCTACCCCCTTCCCAAGGACATCTAAGTACAAAGTTAGGGCATCTTTCCATTTTTTTTTTTTTTTTTACCAAGAAGCTTTTCATTAATAACTTTAATAAAATGAGATATCTTCTTGATTTTATCAGTTATGATTGAAACTAAACTGTATTATGGAGTATGGAATTAACACATTGAGAATCTGTAGTTTCTACAGGAAGAATGTGGGGCTTTAATTTTCTTTCTCTTTAGACTTCAGGAAGAGGAGAAAGTTCTATGAACAGAAGCTGATCTATGGTCTGCATCCCACAGATGCAGGAAATATAGGAAATATAGTGGGAATGTCCAGTTAGGGAGAGCAGTGTTGGAAGAAAGACCACAAAACAATATTGCAAAAATATCCTAGAGGCCAAAGGAATTAAGTGACTTACATTGGGTGAGGCTCAAGCATGACTGAATATAGGTAGGTCTAATTCTAATTGAATTCCTGGTGAAAAGACATTGTTTTACTTGAACAGAGACTCACTCAGATGGGCCCACAAAAGAGAATGGAGCAGCTATTAGACAAGTAGAAGGACCAGTGGGAATCCAAATATAAGAGAGGATAGCTTGTCTTCCTGAAAACTGGACTTAGAGCAAATTTTAGTAGTGTGTTTACCTACTTCTCCCTTCCATCATCGCTTCTTTCCATGTGTTGGTATTGTTCTCTGGGGGTGTAGTGGCTGTGGCCTTCTCAGGATTTGGTCTCTACTACAATTTGAGCTTTTACTTGGGTGCAGTGTGGTCTTTAACTCAATAGAATGCTATTATGAAAGTTGCTAATTCAGCTCAACATTTTCTTTTTCTTTTTTCTTTCTGAGGACCAAAACCAGGGCCGTGTGCTTGCTAGGCAAGCACTCTATCACTGAGCTAAATCCCCAACCCCTCAACATTTACTTTTAAAGTCATACATGTTCCTGAAGAATTGCAAATTTTCAGGTACAATACAGACTATAAACAGAGAACAGAATACAAGCCAAAGGCTCTTAAAATAGCAAATGGTTTATTTATTTTATTTATTTATTTTTTGTCTTATTGAGACAGGGTCTCCCTGTAGCCCCAGCTGGCCTGGAACTTGCTATGTAGACCAGGCTGGCCTTGAACTCACAGAGATCCACCTTCCTCTGCCTCCCAAGTGCTGGGATTAAAGATGGCGCACCACCACACCCAGATCAAATGGTTTATTTTTATCAGAATTATAAGATTTCATTATAGTCTTGAAGTTTGTGGATAGTCTAATTTAGACTGATATTGCTAGTTGGTTATGTCATAATGCTCTATCCACAAATAAGCCTACTATTAATGAATCTAAAATTACAGATATAAATTGCAGATGTTGACCACAAGGATATAGGTAGTGACCAAAGAATGTTACTAATTTCCATGTTTCTGGATATGGTCTATTCAAGTTTGAGCTTAGCATACAATACAAAAGTTTATAAGAAATTAAATGGGTATCTTAAGTATTTTCTTTTTTTTCTTTTAAACATTTTATTATTTTTATTTTATAAAATAAAATTTGTGTGAGTATATTGCCTGCCTACATGTATGTAAGTGCATTCATGTTGTGCAATGCTCATGGAGGTCAGAAGGGTGCGTCAGATCCCCTGGAACTGGAGTTATGATCAGTTGTTAGCTGCCATGTGGGTGCTGAGAACTGAACCTGGGTCCTCTGTAGGTGCAGCCAGCGCCCTTAACTACTGAGCCATCTCTCCAGCCCTGAATTTAGGAAATTCTAATGAAAATTAAGACTCAGAAGTGAAACCTTGCTTAGCTGTCAGCATACTGCACACAGAGCTGGCATTGTTCTACAGACTCCATAGACTCAGCCGTGACTCCAAAGTTACAGCACTGGGCTGAATGCGAACCGAGATAGTGAAAGTTCTGGATAGTGTGAAGAGTACAGCATAGAAGTTATAGTGCTGGCAGTTGGCATTACTATATGGATACTCTGCCTTCGCAAATACTTCTTACTTCAAGAGTTTCTCGATTTCAAAGATATTAGCCCTTTTCTATGACATCAAGTCTGAGATGGACTTTGAGCCAAATCTTCTAGTACCCAAGTTTTAGGAGTTTTATAGTTGGTCTTATTAAATGTTGCATATGAAAAAATGATAGGGCTAATTTTATTTGGTGAAATCTGTAAGTAAATAAAGGGTGATAAGTATTCTTTTTAAAATTAAGGCGTGATGGTGCACGCCTTTAGGCAGGCGGATGGATGTCTGCAAGTTCAAGGCCGGCCTGGTCTAGATATAGTGAGTTCCAGGACAGCTGGGGCTACAGGGAGACCCTGTCTCACCAAAAAAAAAAAAAAAAAAAAAATCAAAATTATTAAAACTTACTACAATAACTTAGTTATGCTTTTTTGCTGATCTCTGCCACTAATAAACAATACTCAGTTTCTGAGAAGAGTCAGTGTCCTATAATGCTGCATCTGTTTTGAAATGAAAGGGAATTGGGGAAGAGACCAGAAACACAACATAGAATACTGGTGAGAACATCTCAGTTAGAAGAAATGTTTCTAATATCAGGATCCCTATATATTTTGGTCTAGCAAATCCATCAGAAACGTCTAAAACTGTATGGCTTAGGGCTTCTTTCCAGCTTCTACTTTGAAACAAATTCCTGTAGAATATAAGGATAGTGTAAAGAGAGCTTGCCTGCTTTGAAATATTTGTGGGTTAATGTTTTTAATTTTACCACATTTTGAACATAAATCTTTTCTTTTTTCCCTAGGGAGTTGGTGTCTCAGTTCATGGTCGATTCCGAGTGGCCACGGAAAGGTCTCTCTTTGCAATGCCAGAAACAGGAATAGGTAAAAACACCAAAAAGTTTTTGTAATTACTTTTTGAATCATAGTCCAGATTTTGTGTGTTTGTGTTTGTGTGGGGGTGTGCACATGTGTGTTTGTAGCTAATATAATCTTCTGAATGCAACAATGAAAGTACTTTAAAAACAAGATACCTAAAAGTTTGTATATCTCAGTAATTATATAAAAATACAAAAGCAAGAATATTTATCTGGAGACATTAACACCCTGTAATATTAAATAAGGGATTATTAAGGGAAATATTTTTTAATTTCAATCTATGACACACTGACGTTTTTATAGATGATGTGAGGCAAGATCAAAGTTACTGTTTTGTATTGGAAAGACGGTCACTCCAGCATTGTTTGTTGAAAAGGCTCTTGTTCCTTCACTGAATTGCCTTTGTGTCTCTGTCAGATGCCTGTGCTGCATGCATTGATCTTGTGTCAGTATCATAGCGTCTTGAATGCTATTGCCTTGTAATAGTGCTTGAAATTAGGTAGTGATAGCCTTCTGATTTTATCTCCCCTTTTCCAAGTTGCTTTCGTTATATAGACCAGTTGTATTTCTATGTAAAATTTAGTCTGTCAATTTCAACAAAATTGCCTTCTGTTATTGTATTTGGCATGTTGACAATCTGTAGGTCAGTTCAGGAAGAATTGACTCCCTCCTGCTCCCTCTCTGTCTCCCTCCTTCCCTCCCTTCCTTTCATGTGTGCTGACTGTGTGTGTGGGGTCCATGCACATGAATGCGGTGTGCATGTGCATGTGGATGTCAGAGATCTAGGTCAAGTGTTTTCTTATTTTTTGAGATAAGGTCTTTAATTTAACCAGAATGTGGTCAATTCAGCTAAGCCCACAGATTCTGTCACCCTCTCCCTAGCACTGGGTTTACAGCATGTGCCACCACACCCAGCTTTTTACATGGGTGCTGGAGAATCTAAACTCAGGTCCTCATGCTTGCATGGATGCTTACTGGATGAACTATCTGCCTAGCTCAAGAAATGATATCTTAATAAGACAGTATCTTCAGGCCCATGGATAAGGTATACTTCCACCTTTTCAAAGTCATCAAAAGTTTTATGGTTTTCAGTGTGTTGGTCTTATAAGTATTTATGTATATTTCATATTACTTGATATTATAAATGACTTTTTTTTTTTGGTCTTTTTGAGACAGGGTCTCACTGTAGCCCCAGCTGTCCTGGTACTCACCATGCAGACCAGGCTGGTCTTGAACTCACAAAGATCCGCCTGCCTCTGCCTTCCGAGTGCTGGGACTAAAGGCGTGGGCCACCATGCACCACCACGCCCTGACAAGAGTTCTCTTTCTATAGCTCTCTCCTCTTTGGCACTCCATTCTAGGAATTCTAGATAGATACCTTGGTCATTTTCTCAAATAAGGGACTGTGGCAGGCTCAGAAACTCTGACAGCATTAAGTTGGAACTGTTGTTAAGGTTGTAAGATGATTTGGAGATAGCTGGATTGTAGATGTGATGAACTGATGATAGTTCCAAAGTATTTAACTTGTGCTTCTGAATGGAGGAGGCTGATCAGGAAAGGAGCATTGTAGTTGAAGGGATGTGAGTCTAGAGTTGTGTTTTTGCTGTGATATATGTAGATGCTTATTAGCTATGTGATTATATATAAAATGTAGGTCTAGAGGTCGATCGGTAGCTTGAGCAGAGAGCAGACCCCAGAGAGCCCTGAGCAGCCCCACTGCTACTGCAGCTGGCCTAGCTACCATCACACCTCTCAGGAGGAGCAGCAGCTACTGCAGCTGGCCCCAGTCACCATCACTGCAACCTTGAGCAGCGAGGCCAAGGCCCAGTAGCCATATTTGTACATCAGACTGCCACAAAGAAGAATAACCCAAGGAAGTGCCTTCGTAGTGTAGGAGATGGAGTGACTGGAGTTTGATGTTGTTGAAGGAGAAAAGAGTGCGGAGGGAGCAAATGTTACAGGCCCTGGTGAATTCAGTTCAAGACGTAAATACGCAGGAGACTGTAACCATTATAGACGCTATGTCGTAGGGGTCCTCCATGCAATTACTAGCAGAATTACCAGAATAGTGAACGGGGAAAAGAATGAGGGATCAGAGAGTGCTCCTGAAGGCTAAGACCAACAACGCACACCCTACTGCAGGCAGAAGTTTCCATCTTACTGCATGCGGAGACCCTATGAGCATCCACCACAGTATTCCAGCCCTCCTGTACAGGGAGAAGTGATGGAAGGTGCAGGAAACCAAGGGAGACTAGTGAGACAGTATGTATCAGGTTACAGACCACGATTCCATAGGGGTCCTCCTCGCCAAGACAGCCTAGAGAGGATGGCAATGAAGAGGACAAGGAACATCAAAGAGATGAGACCCAGGGTCAGCAGCCACCTCCATGTCGGTATCGCTGCACATCAACTACCAACGCAGCCGCCCAGAGTACCCTAAACCACAAGATGACAAAAAGACAAAAGCAGCCAATCCACCAGCTGAGAATTCATCTGCTCTGAGGCTGAGTAGGGCGGGGCTGAGTAAAAGCCAGTTTACCATCTTTACCACCATCTAATTTAGTCATCCAACAAGAAGAAATGAATAAAAGATTGGAGCTGAAGACCTTAAGTGCTTGCTTTTTGCCCATTGACTAGATACACTAGAACTATCTGCTTTGTTTATGCAGCATGGGGTTTTACTTAAAGATGTCTATTTTTGGTAATGACAAACACCGTTTTTTAAAAAAGCCTGGTTTTTCTCAATACACCTTTGAAGGTTTTTAAATTGTTTCATACCTGGTCAAGTTGAGAGTCTTAAGAACATTATTTGTAATGAAAGTTTACAATTTGATTTTTTTCAAAAAAGTCAACAAACTGCAAGCATCTTTAATAAAGGTCTTTAATTAAAAAAAAAAAAAAGGCAGGTCTAGGGTTTGGTATTGAAGGGAAAAGGCTTAACTGGATTGGGGATGGGGACTGTGTTTGTCTACTAGGGCTACCTTGGCAAAATACCATAGGCTGATTAGCTTCAAACACCATATATTTATTTCTCATAGTTCTAAATGCTGGAAGCCAAAGATCAAGATATGGGTAGGTTTGGTTCCTCCTTTCTCCTTGGCTTTTAGGGCTCACCTTGCCACCTCTTCACATAGCCTTTCCTCTGTATGTCTGCATCCCTGGTATCTCTTCCTCTAAGAATACCAGTTCTGTTGGATTAGAGTCTCTCCTTTTCAACCTTTATTACCTAAAGCTCTGTCTCTAATACAGTTGCATTTTGAGCTAGGGCTTCAACATACAGATTTTGGACGGACAAATCCAATTCATATCAGGGAGTAATCAGCAGGAAGATGTTATTTAAAGCCGTAGGAGCCAAGGACAGTAAACATAGGTAGATGCCCTAATATCAAGTCTAGTGTCTGTGACACTCAGGGGTCAAGCAGAGCAGCAAGTAAGTGTGTGTGTGTGTGTGTGTGTGTGTGTGTGTGTGTGTGTGTAATGCCTTGGAGGAAAAGATGTTTCAGGATGGGAAGGTGTTCACATGGGCAGCGTTCTGCTAAAATCTGCTTGAGGGCAGGAAGGACAGTGTTGGGCAGATGAAAAATGATAAGAGTGACTAGATTTTAAAGGTGGTTGTAAGAGATACAAATGAAAATGTGGCCTGAGTCTGACCTATAAGAATTTGTTAAAGGTGATTGTTTTAATCTAAGAGAAACATAGTTGCTGAAGATTGTTAAGAAGTGGGATGCAAGACACTGAATTTTTGCTCAAGCTGGATGTGGTACCCATACTTGTAATCCCAGTATTGGGGATCCTGAGAACTGATGCAGGAGAGCACAAGTTTAAGGCCATCCTGGGCTACACAGTAAGCCCCTGCCTCAAAATAACAAAAAGAGCAAAGTAATTCTGGGAGTATCATTTGGAAAGGAAATATTTTTTCTCTATCCATTTCAGATGCTCTTAAAAAATAAATGTCAAGAGAATTTAAGTATCATTGAATAATTGTGTGTGTGTGTGTGTGTGTGTGTGTGTGTGTGTGGTATGTATGTATATGTAGGCCAGAGGATGAGGATAATCTCAGTTGTCTTTCCTCAGGCACCATCTCTCACTGGCCTGGAACTCACCAAGCTGGTCTGGCTGGCCCCAGAGACCTCCCTGTCTTTGCCTCCCTAGCTCTGGGATTACAGTCATCTGCTACCATTGCCTGGTTAATTTAGTGTGAGTTCTAGGGATCAAACTCAGATACTTACTGAACATTATCCCCTGGCCCCAGCATTGCTTCACTGAACCATCTATCTAGCCCTAGCATTGTGTACTTCTAATACACAGACATTGTACCGTCAGATACTTTAATGATTTCTGTAGAAATCATTTGAAAAATGTCCAAAATAAGTTAGTATAATTTATAACAAACTTTTTGTGACAATGAGCTCATTGTATAGCTTAATATTTGTAGTATAGATTAGAAGTGGCTAAGTGACCTAAAGAGATTCTTTTCATCCATCTTTTGTTTGAATTATTATTTTTGTTGTATTTAATTGCAGGACTATTCCCTGATGTGGGTGGAGGTTATTTCTTGCCAAGACTTCAAGGGAAACTGGGTTACTTCCTTGCATTGACAGGATTCAGACTAAAAGGAAGAGATATGCATACTGCAGGAATTGCTACACACTTTGTAGATTCTGAAAAGGTAATTGTTTGGATGTTTGCTTCGTACAGGGAAGTACTGTGAGTGGTTAAGATTACAGGTTTTTGGTAAATATGGGTATGAATGCTGAATTTATTGCTTATAGCTGTGTGATCTTGGAGAAAGTGCTTAGGCTTTTCCTCTCCTCTTCCTCCTCTTCTTCCTCTTCCTCCTCCTCCATCTTCATCATCTCAATGCTGTCTAGCTGACCTTGGACTTATGCTTCTCTTGCCTCTACCTTTCTAGTGCTGAAATTATAGGTGTTTGCCACCATCACCATACCTGGGAAGATATTTAAGCTTTCTAGTTCTCAGTTTCCCTAAGCAAAGTGGGACCTGATACCTTCAGTGGATACTTTTAACAAATAATTAGTGTTGGTTTTTTTAAAAAAAAGTAAAAAATGGGCTTTTAGCTTGAGGGAAGGATGTGTTAGGATAAGGGAAGGAATGTTATAAAGTAGAATTAGAAAATGTGTGTTATATGCTTAGCTCAGTAATTGACATATAAGCCTTCATTTTTTTTTTTTTTTTTGCAATTCACTCGGCTTTTTTTTTAATATTTTTTGTGTACCATCAAGTCAAGTTTATATGGCACTGGGCATGGAACTTGGGGCCTTATGCAAGTGAGGCAAGTACTCTACCAGCTCAGCTGTATCCCCAGCCCCTTAGACCCAGTTGCAGTTGCAATTAATGTGCAAGTTCAGTGACGGGCTTAGGTAAGTTTTGTTATTGTTGTTGCTGTTTTTTGGTCTTTCTGAGACAGTGTCTGCCTGTAGCCCCAGCTGGCCTGGAACTCACTGTGTAGACCAGGCTGGACTTGAACACACAGAGATCCACCTACCTTTGCCTCCCAAGTGCTGGAAATAAACAAGTGCACCACCATATTTTAAAATATACTGTTTCTTTCTTTCTTTTCTTTTTTTTAATTGAAAGAAGCATTTCATTACAACAGCATTAACCTATTCAATAACATTTTTCTGAGCTAGGGTACATCTCTTTCAAAATTGGCTGTACATTTCTAGGTTTACAGATGAATTATTACCCTTATATAATCTTTTACTCATTATAAACTCTATAAGACATAAAATTAAATGAGGTTCCAAC